GCAGCGGTTTCGGCACGAACATCGCGCCCTACAGGAGCTCCCGAAAAGCTCGAAGCTTGGTCATGCAGCGGTGTCAGATGCGTTCGTGGGGAAGAAGATGGGGCAGGTGGTGGCACGCCAGGAGCGTGGGGGGGCACAGGAGGTTGTACATTCGGGTCGGCAGCAGCATCCACTACTTGATTTGCTCACAGGAGCGTGAGTACTTATTCCAACAGCATTTCAGTACGGGAAACCGAAGTCGAGGCGTGTGACGCAGCATGGCGTGGTGACTCAACACGTTCGTCCAAAGGCAAGGAAGATGTGGGATAATCCATAACGGCATGGGCAAGGGCATGGCTTTTCACAGCTGCTGAATGTTCACGAAGTTGCATGTTGGCAAGTTTGAACGCCAAGACATGGTCGGTTGGCCTACATCAGCGGGAGGACGTAGAACAGGCGGTGAAGAACAGAGAGAGCCGTCTTCTGAAGCATCTTTGTTTTCCCCCAACAACCCAGAGCTACGAAAACGACCCCGATCATGCATCACTTGCCTGTTACCGTGGCCTGACTTCCGTCCTCCTTTTCCGCCGCGACCGCTGTCAGTACTGGTCGCCCTGCTGTTGCCCCCGCTCCGGTTTTGGCTCCGGCTGCGGCTATGGCTAGACGAAGGCGTGTTTCTCCCACGACGGTCTCCGCTCCGGCTGCTACCACGCCTAGACGAAGGATTGGTGCGCTGTTGACGTTCTGCGCTCCGACTCCTGCTCCGGCGGTGGCGGCTCGCCGGTGAAGACCTGGTAGGCTGGGTCCCCACGGCTCGCCCTCGCCCGCCATATCCGGTGCCGCGCCCTCGCGAAGACTGGGTGGAGCGGCGGTGGTTGTCCGTCCTGCTCTTGGCCGTCGAATCTTGGTCACCCCAACGGTTCTTCCAGCTCTTAGATGCAGGAGCCGCCGACCGACTGTTGTTCTTGTCCCCTCCAGAAACATTTGCAGGGCGTGAAGAGGCCTGCCGGGGGGCTTGCAGATCGTGCTTGAAATCGTTGTTTGAGGCAGTACGAGCAAGAGGCAGCTGGAGTCCTCCATCTTGGGTCACCACCGACGTTCCTTGAGGACCACTCGTAAAAGAGGTACGACGGAGAGCGAACAAAAGCCGGAACACGGACTGCCGAGGAGAAGGCGGAAGTTTCGCGATGTAGGGGGCAGAATAAATATGCCCGAAAGCAACGGTGTGAGAGTGGGGAAATTGAGCACGGACGAGATGTTTGACTCCAGCCCAAGCAAAAAGAGCTGCCAGTTTATCCTCATCGTGGAAAGTTACGTCTTCGGCTGGCATCTCCAGTGGGCGGGACAGGAACGCAATATCGCCAACATGGAACTCGTACCCCGCGGCTTCGGCCGCAGTCGATGCCCCGTCTTCACCGGCCGGACGACCCAACGTCACCGAAAACTCGGGAGTAGCCGCCACCTCCCGTCCGTTCTCCTTCGCCACAGAGGCACGCTGCGATTGCAATTGGGGGGGGGCAACAACACGACGATGGGGAGACGCTGACGCCAAATATAAAGGAGGTGAAGCCGTGGGCGGTAGCTTGCTCCTAGAGATAGATGAAGGTTCTGTCGTTGACACGCTTGTCCGCGACCACGTTGAGATGGGAAAGTTGCTTCTTATTGCTGAGAGACGATCAGCAAGGGTCTGAGATGGAGTGGGGATCCAACTTCATCTCAAATATACAGAGTAGACAAATCTAAGGGGGAAGGGGTCAGAAGGGTATACCTCCTGACCGACCCGCATCCTATCAACAATAAGATGTACCCTATTCATGCTAGCAACCACATCCTTAACAAGAAGGGTTTTCTCGATAACAGAAGAGCTGGTATGGGTGGCCGTACGTTGTTCTCGACACGTCAATTATTCCAATCTTCCATGTGGTACACGTTTCGATCTTGTCAACAAGTTTCACAGCGATGGAAGAGTATCGTTAGATCGTCAATGTAGACTGCTAGTATCCCGCCTGTGAAACAAAACACCAGGTCCCTTCGCCCCACGCCGGGTGGTATCCTGCATCACACTCGGGCGCACCTGCTTGAGATGACGGTCGTCCCTTCAGACGGCGTAACAACTTGGAAGCGTTCGCAGGCAATAGACGCGACGTCGGGCAAGCCGACGAGGGCGGCACCCGCAACCACACCAGCAGTGCGAACCATATTTCACGCGCAACGGCGAGGCGAGGCGAAGCGTCACGGAGGAAATACGGTGCGGCCGAAGCTGGGTCTTGGGAGGGTGGATACCTGTCTATCGCGTTCTGCGCCTGAAGTCCTTCTTCTGCTAAGTAAGGGAGAGGAGGGGAGGGGGGGGCAGGAGGTGTGGTGGGTTGATGAATCATTACCAGATCATTACGCACGGCAAGCCATGATGCCACAGCAAGATTCGTGTTTTTTTTGTGTGTTTGAGAACTGTTCGAGAGAGTTTCATTTCATGACGATGGGAGATATTGGCATTTCGGAACCTCCAGCTGTTTGATAACTGAAATGTGCTGGCTTAGTCGCTTTGTTCGCCGAACCTTCTGGCATGAACGGAGAATCGGGCCCCTGTGATTGTTCGTGGATCTACGAACATTGGTGTTGGATACATGTGCCGGATGATTTGGTGTCACGCAGACTGGTAAGATTTCCGTTTGGTAGGGGGCACTGCAATGATTCACGGAGCCCCTCCTTGCTGTGGCAGCCGCTCTTTGAGCACTCCCTCTTTCGTCCGTGTCAAGGACGGTCGTCTACCTCTCGGGAAGTTAATACATCACCAAAACAGTCTCACCCGATATATAAGTGGTGTAGGCCGCAAACACTAGAGTGTTTTGCCCCTCGAGGGAAGCCACATTGGGATGAGCTCTGCTGGAGACGAAGAGCGCACTGCCGCGAGCGGAGAACAGATCCGCCCGCCGGTACAGGAGGGCCGCGATGCGGAGCTTGCAAGTTTGCAACTGCAGGTTTCGCAATTGGCGGCCCTGGTGGAGGAGTCGGTGAAGAGGAAGGAGCCTGGCAGCATCGTGGCGGATGCAGCCAGTAGGGGCGGCTGGGTTGCCGCCCCCGGAGGCCAACAAGAAGAGCCCATGCAGCCGCTCGGCGGTGCCGGGGGATTTTTCCAACAGCAAGCGAGAGATTGTGGGCAAGGACCACGGCAGCTGCTGGAAGGCGACTGGGCCAGCAGATCGGGAGCGAACCCTGCTGGACCAGCCGGAGTGGGCCCGGGCATAGGACCGGACAACGGGGAAGCGAGGGGGTTATACCTCCCAGGTGAGATACCCGTGGTTCGAGGAAATGGAGATTACCTCGACGGCTACAGCAGTAGCAGCATGAACAGAGTAACAGTCAATGCCCCGCTTCGAGACGGAAAAAGCCGTAGCCACGAATTTCATTCGTGGCGAAAATCGTTCATCCAAGCTGCGAGGACCATGGACTTGGACGGGCAGTTCATAGGAGATGCAGAGAGCAATATCCCCGTGGGCGACCCAAACTTGCCGACTTCGGAACTGCTCCGTAGGGGTCCCACGAGAGCAGAAGTCCAACGACGGCTTCAGGCGTTCGATTTTTATTACTACTGCTGTGGTAAAAGATGCTGACAAAGCAATCGTTAGACACTGTACGTCAGCACAAGAGGTCCTCACGGAAATGGAAAAGGTCTACGATCCAGAGACACAGGGGTCCNATTATCAGCAACTGTACGTCAGCGAAAGAGGTCCTTGCGGAATTGGAAAAGGTCTACGATCCGGAGTCACAGGGGTCAAAACAGGCCTTGATGCGGAAGATGTTCGACTTTGCGATCCCCACACACAGCAACAGCAATCCCATCGACCATCAATACTCTCTCGAGCTGCTGTACTCACGTCTACGCGAAAAAGGGCTCAACGCTGACGCACCCGTTGTACTCGCCCACTTCGTTGGCTCCCTCCCACCCGAGTACCAACAAGCGAAGTTCCTGTTGGAGACAGCAACGGCGCTGGATAGGGCCGAGATCGTCAGGATCGTGAGCACGGTGCACGCGA